TGTTGAAAGTCTTGTTTTGGGTTAATTTCCAAAACATAACCCCTATTTGCAGTTTTCAGCAGTGGATTTTAAAACTTAACTAGATGAAGCTAGTTTGACTTTCTCTTTAATTTGTCCTATGGTGTTGTCCAAACCTGGTGGTTCTTTATTTTATTAATGCAGAAAGTAAATTGTTCAGTCATAGATATTTGGAAAACATAAAATGTTGAAGAAAATCAAGGATATACCCACACTCCCATTACTGCTATCACCAAGGAATAATTTTTCAACTGATAATGCACATTAGACAATTTAGAGTTCTAATGACAAAGAATGCTCTTAAATAAGTTTCAGAAAAGTAGGGTCAAATGCAAACCTTAAAACAACCGGAAATAATGTCAGACTAGTCATCTGATGTCAAGTGGAGAGAGACTAAGCATAAAGTTAAAAGAAGAAACTTACAAAGCAATGAGCAAATATGACTGTATTATAAAAAGATTTAAACTTCTGTGTAAATTACCCAAAATTATATAATAACAACAAACTAGGAAAATAATTTGTAACAAATACAATAGATTGAGAAAAACATGATACTATATTATAAACAATAGGAAGAGCTGGCAAGGCCATGAGTGTGAATTTCAGCTGAGAAGAAGTACATGTCACCCACAAGCATTTATTTAACAAATGCCAAATATTGGGATAGAGCAGTGAACATAGAGCTCCACCACTTACAAATGATTAAAAAGCAATCAAGGTAGAAGTGTATTTGAATTAGATAGGAAACTATTGGAAGAACTAAGAAAAATAATATAGTTGACTGCAACAGAGTATTAGAGGAAATGAAGGAAAGACAGGGTAAAGTGGACAGATATTAATTATCACTGTTATAAATAAGATTCAAAAGCTACTGTCTAAAGAAATAATAAATTAAATATATAACATAAAGTTAGACTTCTAAAAACAAGTACTAGAAAAGCAACGACAAATAAATGAAATTTGAATTATCAGAAGGAACACAAATACTCACATATAAAGAAACACATGCAAAATAATTTTAATGACAAGAAAAGGTTTTAAAAGAGAAGCAAACTCACCCAAGGAGTTTCTCTCTCTCTCTCTCTCTCTCTCTCTCTCTCTCTCTCTCTCTCTCTTTCTCTCTCTCTGTTGTGGAAACTCTCATTATCATGTCTTTCCCCTTTTACACCTTCCGGTGGCTATCTATCAGCTAGAATAATATAGTGGGCTCCTGTCCTTCCACTGTGAGACACAGACCAGCAGTCAATTTGAAATCTTCACACCAGAATCAAAACTTTCAGTTAATGCAAGAAATGGCTCCGGCTGCCTTCAAGTTAGGTCTGTAAAGAAAGCTGTGGAAGATCTCATTTATATCACCAAGTCTTGTTCACGTGCAAAAAGCTTTATTGTGCGAATTGTGATCTTCTGTCTCTGAAACTGAAGAGGAAAGTTTGAGATTAAATTAAGAGAAATGAATCAGGTAAACAAAATTTCCTTTAAAATCTGAAGCCAACTACATAGGCTACATATCTGTGCATTCAAATATGCTACATGTGTATGCTCCTTCACAACTTGTGTTCAAAATAGCCTTAAATGATAGGTACTCTGCCGTCAAAATGCAATAGAGATTTGGAAGAGTTATCCAGAATTATATTTAAAAATAGTTTGAAGGGAACAATATTTTTGCTCTAATTGTTCAATTAAATAAGAGAAAGAGAAAAAAATAAAAAAGATATAGTGTGAGAAACTGAAACCAAATATACCTATCCCATAGATGAATGTAAATAAAGACTCCATGTCAAGAAAAAAACTCTCATATTACAGCAAAGAGCAAACTCAGTTGTATACTTCGCTGTGTATAAAAGCTCTAAAACAAAGTGATTAAGCAGAGTTAAATATTTTAAAAATGGGCAAATGCAATAATATGATACACAACATAATTTTTCAACCAGGCAAGTTTGAATTTAGGACAAAAAAGCATCCCACAAGACAAAGAAGGCCGCTTTATATTTGTAAAGAATGACTCCACAGTAAGCTCCTCCAATAATTAATAACAGCACCCAGTAAGAGAGCATGAAAATCACAAAGCGAAACTACTAAGAAGCGAAGGAAAAATACAGTAGCAAAGAGAGATTTCAATCCACCTCCCTCAGTTCAGGACATATTAAGTTACTGAAATGATGGAAATATAACAATAAAAAGCTAAAGTAGAATATTCAATTCATAATCCAGAAACAGCATAGATATTTGAAAGTGCTCACTGAACTTGTCAGAGAATAGCCCACACTGAAATTCTCATCGAATTCCCAAGTGTACTGACATAGTATCTACATTCTTGGGTCTCAGTGCAGCGAAAGAAACAACACAATAAAACTACCGCCAAACCGCATGTTTTTATTGGGTCTACTATTGCTGTCATTATATCATTTTGATCTGAAGATACTAAAACAATTAAATACCAAAAAGAAAAATACAGCATAAAACTTAGGGGGAAAGGAAGTACCTTTGTCACTATTTACAAATGACATGATTGTATTACAAATGAACACAAAAGAATAAAATATAATGCTATTCATAACCACTTTAAAGAGTAAATTACTTAGGTAAAAAAAACCATAAATAATAATTTTGACATATAAGCTATAAGAAATTAGAAAACATAATGGAAAACTTATTTTACTTGTAGCAGCAACACAAAGGATAAAATACCTAGAAACAGATGTAACTTAAAAGATGCAAAATCTATATCAAGAAAAATCTAAAGTGAAACTGATAAAGTTTTTAAAAACTGAATGGAAAGTTCTTGATTAAGAACACTCAATAGTATAAAGATTTCAAATGTTCCTAAATTAACCTATAATAAATGCAACAAATGGTACAAATAGGATTTTAATAACACTAGAAAAAATATATTCTAAGATGTAAATAGAAAAGTAAGCATGCGGTGATGGTTGGGGCATTCCTAAAATAAAGAACAGGAACCAGGACCAGCGCCCTAAGGAAACATATAAAGCTGCAGGAATCCCAATCTGTGGCACTCATGATTGAGCAGGCAGGCAGGTCAATGGACAAGATTGGGAAGAACATAAATAAACCCCCAAAACACTTGTGAGTTTCATAAATGCTAAAGGTTTAACCGCAGATCCATGAAGAAGAAAATAAGCCATTTATCTAATGATACTCACAGCCAATTATAGAAATAAAAGAGGAATCCCTACTTCACTTCTAATACCAAAATAAATTTTACATGATCACAGATTTAAATGTTCAAAAACTAAAAATCTAGAAACTGAGAGAATATGAGAAATAATTTAAAATAACCCTGCAGTGAGAAAGACCTTTCCAATTATGACTACTCCCTCCCAAAAGTCAAGAAGCCCTAAAGAAGAGGCATATGATTAACTCCATCAAAATGAAACATTCCAAGGAAAAAAACAAAAACAAAAATAAACAGAGGTTCTGAATCGAAAAACACCCCAAACCAGCTCAAAAGACATGTGACATATTGAGGGAAAAACTTGTTCACATTTATCACAGACAAAGGACTCATTCCCTTTCTCTCTAAATAGTACAGAGCCCTGGCCAGGCGGCTCAGTTAGTTGGAGCATTGTCCCCAACACCAAAATGTTGCAGTTCAACCCCTAGTCGGGTGTGTTCAGGAGGCAACCCATCAATGTTTCTCTCTCTTCCTCTTTCTCCCTTCCCCCTCCCCCTTACTTTCTCTCTCTCTCTCTCTAAAAATCAATGAACATGTCCCAAGGTGCGAGATTTAAAAAAAAAGTACACATAGACCATAGGTTAACCATGTGTGACCTCACTCATAATAATAAAAATGCAGAAATATGAAACCAAGATACATCTTCCCTGAATACGAAAAGCAAAAACAAACTTGGGCTGTACCCTGTGTGGGTGGCCATGGGTACTGCAGGTGTGAGGAAAGAAGTGTGCTTCAACTTTGGTGTTAGAATAAGTTGTTACGACCTCCATGGAGGGCAATGGGACACTAGCCAACGAAATTCCAACTACCCACCTCCCTTGTCCCAGCAATTCGGTGTGCTCGAGTATGAAATGATGCAGTCAATGTTTCTCTCTCTTCCTCTTTCTCCCTTCCTCCTCCCCCTTCCTCTCTCTCTAAAATCAATGAACATGTCCCCAGGTGAGGGTTTAAAAAAAAAAATACACATAAACCATAGGTTAACCATGTGTGACCTCACTCATAATAATAAAAATGCAAAAATATGAAACCAAGATACATCTTCCCTGAATACGAAAAGCAAAAACAAACTTGGGCTGTACCCTGTGTGGGTGGCCATGGGTACTGCAGGTGTGAGGAAAGAAGTGTGCTTCAACTTTGGTGTAAGAATAAGTTGTTACGACCGTGGCCATGGGTACTGCAGGTGTGAGGAAAGAAGTGTGCTTCAACTTTGGTGTTAGAATAAGTTGTTACGACCTCCATGGAGGGCAATGGGACACTAGCCAACGAAATTCCAACTACCCACCTCCCTTGTCCCAGCAATTCGGTGTGCTCGAGTATGAAATGATGCAGTCGATTGGCATTCCATAGAATGCATGCTTATTAGGAGCCAACTATGGATCAGGCACTGTTCTAAGTGCTAAAGATACAGCAGGGCGCACAACAAAACCCTTCCTCAAATATGAAACCAAGATACATCTTCCCTGAATACGAAAAGCAAAAACAAACTTGGGCTGTACCCTGTGTGGGTGGCCATGGGTACTGCAGGTGTGAGGAAAGAAGTGTGCTTCAACTTTGGTGTAAGAATAAGTTGTTACGACCTCCACGGGGGGCAATGGGACACTAGCCAATGAAATTCCAACTACCCACCCCCCTTGTCCCAGCAATTTGGTGTGCTCGAGCATGAAATGATGCAGTTGATTGGCATTCCATAGAATGCATGCTTATTAGGAGCCTACTATGGATCAGGCACTGTTCTAAGGGCTAAAGATACAGCAGGGCACACAACAAAACCCTTCCTCAGGGAAGGAAATCATCCTTGGTGAGGGCAGGTAATAAACAAAAGGGACCAATGAAAGAAATTCTGGTTCACACACTCAGTAGAATACTATGAACGGAGTTCCACAGCACAGCAAGTGAAAGGAAACAAGCAGGGTGCAGAAGCGTATGGCAGTATATTGCTATTTGTGTAAACACACACACACACACACACACACACACACACACGAAAGGTCACACAAGAAGCTAGAAAAGAGTAGCTCTTTGTGGGTGTCTAGGGATTAGGATGGGAAGGACATTTTGCTGTATGGCCTTGTGTACCTTTGGAATTATGTGCCATGTGCATACATTAAATACAAAAAAATGCATGAAAATTGCTACCAGAAATATCAATAAATAGAAATGATTAGGTGGATACATGCTCAAGCAATAGTTTAATCTGAGTTTGCTATTATAT